ACGTTGGGTATGTTTGGAATTAAAGAAGAAAGTATTATTATGATTAGTTATACTACTTTCTTATTGATCTTTAACTAATAATATGTAAGTTTGATGTAGATACACATGAAACTCATATGAACTATGTTTACCTGGTCCTTCAACACATTCCCAACCTACTTCTATTTTGGAAGTCAATGATATTAGATCATCTACTTCTACAATCGATGAATGGTACAAGACAATGATCAATGATTCAAATGATGATGTGAATGAGATTTTGATGATTTAGTTAATAATCTGAATGTTAGTAATAATGTTGATTAGGAGAATATCAATTAGATTATTTATGATTGCTGTGTAAGGACTAGTAATACGGAGGAAGATATAATAGTGAATAATGAATATATTGAGATTCCCAGGAGTACCCGTCAGTGGAATGCAGAGTTTGCATCTGACAGTGCTACTCTAATTAGCCAAACAAATAAGGATTTTCTAATTCTTAATGAATAGGTAGAACATATGCGCTCTCGATGTATATCATAACTATAATTTTCCTTACAAGGGTGATCCATTAGAAATAATGTTTAGCTTGTGGTGGTTGCTTCAATCAAATAGAAATTCACAGTTGCGTGTATATAGTATGATAATTCTACTGCTAGGTGTCATTGGCGTTTACATGCTACCCTAAGCAACCGATTGGGTGGTGTCTAGAAAAAATCTACCATGAAAGGGCAATATACATACTGAAATCCAATTCTACAAGCCGATCATAGGCAATGTAACTAACATTTCATTAGCTTTTCATTATCCTTATCATGAGAAAGTAGATGGATATAAAACCCATAGAGATAATTGAAAGAACTGAAGCAATGTTTAACTTAAACAGTTTCATTCCGGAAAGCATGAGATACATGTCAAAAGGCTAAGAAGATAGTATTTGACAGTTAGGAGGAGTATTATCAATCATTGAATTTGTTCATTGAAGTTATTGTTGTTATTATGCTAGCTACAATTTATAAGATCTAGTCCTCTTGTACATATAAATTTCATGAGGTTATAATACGGAGAGATAGAGAAATGGAGAGAGATAATTTTAATATTTAATTTTTATAATTATTACATTTTTAATCTTATGTATGATTAATTAATTAATTTTAAAGTATATTTATATTAAAATAATATTAAAAAATATATATTATATTTTAAATTAAAATTAATTAATTATGCAAATTTAAATTTAATTTTTTTTTGTTTTTATAGTTTTTTTGCTAAGATTATATTTTTTAAATTTTAATTTACTTTTTTTTTGCATTTGATTTTTTCAATATTTATTTATTGAATTTTATTATTTATCTGATTTAATGAACATATTTATAACTATTAATGATCTTGATTTTTTAAAGTAACAATCATTTTGATAATTATAAATGATAAAATTCAAATAAGGTAAATGATAAAATTCAATGAATAAATGTTGAAAAAAACAAATCCAATGCAAAGGAAAGTAAATTAAAGATTCAACAAATAAATCTTAGCATATAATCATAATAAAATAAAAATAAAAATAATTTAAATTTGTAATAATTAAATTAATCTTTAATTTAAGAATCATAAATAAATTTAATATTATTTTCAACATAAAAAATATATTAAAACTTAATAAGCGTAATTCTTATATAATATTAAAATTGTGAAATGAGTTTTTGAATATTTAAAATAGTTAAAAGTTTAACAAACCTTGTAGCTCCGACCGCACTCCCTAGCCCTTCCTCTTCACACAAATATTGCCATGACTATAATAGTAAAAAATAAGTATTTGACTCGAACATTTTCATCCACCTAAGATTGCAATATAAAACTTTTAATGTGTTTTGAGTGATAACAATCATACAAACCTATATGGCATTTCTTGTGATTCGCCCCATCTCGAGCGATTTTTGCGCTATTTGATCTCTGTAGGATGCACAAGCGTGCACTGTTCACCCGCTGCATTGTTTTTTTTAAAACTTAGAAAATGAAGTATGGAAGAAAAGTATACTAATGAATATACTTTTTTATGGTTAAGAATATATGAAATTCGGTTGGAATAGAGTTCAGTTACTGCATATTGGGAGTGAAAATAGTTTTTTCGCGTTGGGAGTGGCCCCCCCTACGAACCATCGTTCTCGCCATAGGGTGTCATATTTATGACATGACACTGAAACCACCTCGGCATTCTATCAAAAATACCAAAAAATGGTGAATCACACATCTGCTTGGAAATCCTTTGACCTGTCTGTTGCAAAAACGTGGTCGGTTTAGGTTGACTCTGACTGTTTGGCGGTGTCAACCCGAGAACGCCGCTTAGAATTGGAGCTGCACCGAGGATGCCCCGCTACCGCCTGCGGCTGCCACGCTCGCGAGTCCATGCCCGTAGACTGGCCGCGCCCCCTGGCACCCCCGCCCAACAACTGGCAAATGCCGCAGGCCTCGCATTCACCTCGCCCAGGGGGGGTTGTCGTGGGCCGGGGGGGGGCGAGGAGGGCAGGGTGTGGGGCGCGGGGTTGCGTGGGGGGGGGCCGAGGCAGCGTCGCCGCCCCGCGTCAGCCCGCCCGCCACCCAGATGCTCGTCGTCCCGTGTCGTGGTCGCGGTCCGTGTCCGTGTTTTCGACCCGTTGGCCTAACCCGGGTCGGCGTTAGTGGAAATACGACCGATTGAACCCCCGCTGCACACGTGACCCGCGAACCAAATTGACCCAACCCCACTATGCTCCGACACACCAATTGCCGAATCTAGCCTAACCGAGATTATCTACAAATCCCCCCTATCCAAACTTACTGTATCGACATGCTTCAAATTCACCTTACGAGCCATTCTTCGCCTCCTTATTTACATTAAATGC